CTAGATGCCAGGCAAGATCCTTTAGGACAAGTGGATCCCAAGGGTCCCTGGCCCCAGGGACCAGGATCGCTGTCTTCAAGCTCCTTCCCCTAGCATTCACAACAAACTCATTGATGCACCTCATCATGCACCTCTTTCCCCTTCAGCCACAGACTCTTGGAACATCAAGTGCTTCTTGCTGCAGGCCACTCGCCTTTGGTACGAAATCGCTATAATCTCCTGTCTTCCTAGTGAGCTCCTAGTCACCCTATAAAACCCAGTTCAGAATCACCTTCTCCATGCGGTGTTCTCTGAATGCCCCATTTCCCAAAAGAGAACCCCCTGCTCTGACATCTCAAAGGCAACACTCGGCACCATCACTTACTGTGTATCACCCCTTCTAGATCACCCATCCACCATTCTACCTGTTTATACATAGTAGGTTCCCCAGGAGTGTTTAGAGTGTTGACACATCACTCAAATGCCTACAGTCAGCAGACAACACCGTCCTGGGGAATCTTCAAGTCCCATGGCCTCTGGTGAGTGGGCCCTGGATTCTTCACTGCCAAGTGCAATCCGTCTCCCATCCCTGGCATTCGGTGCTCTGACTCTGAACACGAACGCTCAATCTCCTCCCTCCAAATGCCTTTGTCCCAGGCCACACTGTACTATGGGACAATGATGACAACACAATCTAAGAGACCACAGGCCAGAGGCCCTAACTCCCTGCCTATCCTGTAGGACCCAAGAGCTCCACACCACAGTCTGGTACATATCTGTACCAAACCAGTGAGCCAATGGCCCCAGGTACAGCTGAGCAAATGAAAACCAGAGAAGCCAGAATCCCACCTGAGGTTACAGAGGGGCAATGGCGCCCACACTGGCCCACACTGCACCCCACTCACTTGCTACCCATGCTGCTTGTTGACAACAGCAGATTGGTCAGACTCTGCCACAACGGCCCAGTCCTCCAGGGGGCAAAACCCAGCAGAATCATGAGCAGCACTGTCAGAGCTCATGCCTGGCTCAATCCCCAGCTCTCCCTGTAGTCCTGCACGGATGGCTGCCCTTCCTACACCCTTGCTGGAGAAGCTCAGCTAGCAGCACACGCACAGCCAAATCAGACCCAGCTGACACCAGCCTTGGCACTGAGTAATGCACCATACCAGTTCTCCAACAGATATGAGAGTAAGACACCAGCCAGGAACCAAGGATCCTAAAACAGTGCATCCCTGCCCTAGTCCCACAGCATGGAGTCAGGCAGGCCTGAACTCTCAAGAAGCTCTCCCCAATGCTCCCAGCACCCGGCCTGGCCTAGCCAGGGCTCCTGCTCTCACCCAGAACACAAACAAGGAGGTGCCCAGAGAACCCAGCCTTGTTCAGAAACCCCCTTCCCCATACAGCCCCTCTCCATACGATCCCTCAAATCACAGCCTAATTTTTGAGCGGAAAAACAAAAGAAGGCTGCCCATCAACCATGCATACCTTAGTACAAATTTCTCTAACTCATTTTCCTTTACTCCCTACCCTGAACTCAAGAAAATAGGAAAGGAGGGGCCCGCATAATGCCACACCGGTTAAGCCATCACCTACAGCATCATTCTCCTCTAACACCAGTTCCAGCCCCAGCTGCTCTGCTGCTGATCCAGCTTCCTGCTAACACACCTGGGAAAGCAAGAGAAAATCGGCCAAGTGCTTGGGCATCTACCACCCATGTGGAGGACCAGGATGAAGTTCCTGGCTTCTGCCTTCAACCTGGCCCCGCCCCAAGTGATGTGGCCATGTGGAGAGTGAACCTGTGGGTAGAAGATCTCTGTCTCTCTTTCTCCTTTGTCATTTGGCCTTCCAAAAAAAAAAACCACAAACTAAATAAATTTTCAATCAATGGGGAAAGGAATGGACACATCACAAAGAAGGAAACAACCTGGGGAATGGTTGGGGGGGTTGGTGGTGTTACGTGGTCAGAGGTTAGTACAGGGGCCCCTGAGTTGGGCAAACCACCCAGAGTGCCCGCCAGACCCAAGGGGCACCTGCAGGCCACACTTTTACCCATGCCCCACTGAAGACACAGCCTTTGACAAATGCTCTGCACTCCAGCCTCCTCTTGGCGAAATCGCCTGCCCCCTCAGCTTGCCCATTTGTTCAGTGGGAACCAGGCATCCAAACCTGGAGCTGAGGGAGGAGGTCACAGGACTGGTGTGTCAACAACTGTCAGACAGACTGACAGTCTCCTTTCTTGCTGCCATGCCCACCGGTGTGCCTCGGTTTGTAACAGAGTGCCAGCACTCCTACCAGGATCCATACCAGCCTCTGCTTCCTCTGCTTTGGCACATGGGAGTGAGGCAGGGAGCTTGAAGCTGACTACAAGCCGGTAGCTCCAGGCAAAACCCTGGGATGGTCCCTGTGCACATAGACAAGGGCGGTCTCCACCTCGAGGTTGCAGAGAGCTGTCTGACCAAGACAGGACTGTGCCACATGGAGACGAAGGGCAGCTGGCCCATGTGGTCCATGGGGCAGTCTGTGGGGTCTGCTCCCTGGGTAGCCTGGAGGAGTTCCCTTGTCAGCCCCATAAATCAGGATGGGCTGGCCCCAGACTCCTTGTGGATTATTTAATTTGTTCCCATTTTATCCAAAAGGAAGAGAGGCCAGGAGAAAGACCTAGGCCTGACTGGATCACCTGGCCCTGCCAGGGTCTGGCTGGAGGAAGGGAATGGGGAGTTTTACTGGGGAACAGCGGGCAGCGCTCTCATGGTAGGAGCTGGGCAGGGACTCACATCCCACACCTGCCATTCATAATCTAGTTCTTGGAGCAGCTGAGCCCGGCGACAGTCTCAGCCTCCCTCTCACCTACAGCAGGGGACACTTACTCTGGTCACACTAGGTTGAAATAAGGAGTCCAAGAGAGTGTGACGGCTGGCATGTAACAAGTACCCACAAATGCCACCTGTTGCCATCAGCAGCACCCACACCACGGTCATCAGTCCCTGACCACCAAATGCCCCAGTCTGGCCCCAGTCTGGCCCCTGCATGCCATCCCTCAGGAGTCTCCCTTCCTGGGTCTGTCCTAGAGGGTGACAACCAGCACAGCCCCCAACCTGGAGGCAGGAACAGCTTTCACCTACAGGCCTCAGATCCCCCATGACAGAGCAAGCCGGAAAAGGGGTCCCACAGATGGAGGGGACACAAGTAATCCCTGGAAGACGCCTGCTCCACTCACTCGAGGCCACCCCAAGCCCACACCAAAACCCACTGAGACCTTACTCCACCTCCCTGCCAAAGGAAGCAACAGATGATCTCCCCAAACCTGTCAGCCCCTGAGAATCCCAAGCCACTAGAGGCACAATGTTCTCGTGAGAACCACGCAGTCCACATCCACGTTAAAGACTCACAGGAGCCTTCTCACTGTCCAGAACCAAAAGCTGCTCTGGCGTTAAGTCCCAAACACAGGCCCACCAGGCAACAAAGACAGGCAGGTGTGGAGGTAACAGCCTGGAGACCTCTGACCTGCAGAGGGCGCTCTCTCCTGAGAACCACATTGTGGGAGGGATTTCTGCAGGTGTTCAGGGCCAGCTCCAGGAGCCTGATCCAGGTGCCTGAACCAGGCACTGGGTCTGTTGGCAGTGACTAGGACAACGGGAGATTGTGCTTGAAACACAATATGCACATAGTATGACAGGTTCAAGCTCACACGCAAAGGAAATGTCAAAAAATGACCTGTTTATCTAACTAACCAATGTCAACGCATCTGAATTATCGGAGGGGTGGCGACAATGCAGAATCATAAAGTAAGACTCTCAAGCCTCTGGCTGCAAAACTGCACGGGGCGTCTGGGTCCATATGGCTGGGTCTCAGTTAGAAGGACAGAACCAAACAAAATCAAGAGGCAGGGAAGGGAATGAAGTGGCCCCATCCGAACCTCTCCTCCCCCAGAGACCAGAAGACAGGAGTGACACCGAGGATGGTCAGACTTCAGTCCAGGCTGAGGCCATACTCCCAGGGTCTCCACCTCCAAAATGGCCACACTCCTGTGACCTCCCCTGGCTGCGGGGAGAACAGGCAACACGTGGAAAAGGGAAATGGCTGGGCAGCCACAGGCAGCCAGTGTGGGGTCATTCTTAGAATCACAGGCAAGAATGGCAGAATGTGGTAAGAGCTACAAGTGTGAGAGCTGCCACTGACCCTTGAAGAAAAGTGGGGAACAGACAGTGGTTAGGAAGAGACCCTGGAGGCATTTCTCAGGCCTAGGATCACTCCAAGAGGATGCATGTAAGGGGGTGCTGGGAGTGGGGCCCGGCCCACAGTCAAGGTCAACCCTCTATCAACAGCCATGGTCCCTGCTGCTGCATGGCTTTATGGAAGGAACAGCTCTGACATAGACAAACCCAGCCATCCGTGCCCACCGAAGGAGCCGTCAGGCCCACCTGGCATAGCAGGACACCTGCCCAGGCAGTCCCCAGAACATAATCACCACCAGAGTTCCTCTTGGCCTTCAAGGCCCCCAGCCCTCTCATTTAGGAACCTCCTGGCACATGGGGAAGTCAGCTTTTCATTGCAAAGGCATAAGGGGCTCCACACCAGGGTTATCCTCTGCTTCTACTCCAGCATCCCCTACTCCAGGAGAAGGCATAGGAACCCCAGACCCCGGGCAAACCCAAACTTGCCAACACCTCCCTGCCAAAGCTCCCTCAGCTCACTCCAGTGCCTGACTTCGCCTCACTCATCCCACGGGGGTTTCTCCCAGATAGCAAGAAGCAAAACTGAGGTGAACCTGGGCCCTCCTCACTTCCACAGAAGTCAAGGCAGACACCCCTGCTGACACCACAGTGGACGGGCACTCTAAAAGCATCTACCTTTGCATTTTACTCCGACAGGCTGTTCTCCACCCCACGAGGAAGCTCCCCATCCTCTAGGTGGGAGGAAAGGGGGAGGCCAGCGCAATGACCTCCCAGAACCCACGGTCACACTTCAACACCCCAGCCAGGTGCCCAAGGAGAAGCCTTGGAGCCCACGAGGAAGCCCACCTGAGAATTCTCCGGGTGCAGTGAGGAGGGAGTTGGTGGCCTCGGTTTCAGTGTAAGACAATGTGGAATCAGACAGATCTGTAGGGGCAAAGACAAAGACAACTTAGCCGTGGGACACCATCTCCAGCACGAACATCTCACACGCACACAAAGACATGGCAGCGTGTCCCTCGCTATTCCCCGACGTCACTCTGTGACACCCCCACACCCCACCCAGCCCAGCAGCCCAGCCCTGAAACTCTCCGTGGTGCGACCCAGACTCATGCACACCTGCTCTGACCGTCGAAGGAACCCACCAGCAATGGAGTAGGGTGTTGAGGGGGCCCACCCAAGCAAGCAGCAGCTTGGAGCCTTCCCTGGGCAAGGTGAAATTAAGCCCCTGCACAATTCATCATGGCTGTACTTAATTACAGCCATTAAAATTCTTGAAGCTGTTCCTTCTTGCTTCCTTCCTTCCTCCCTTCCTCCCGCTGGAGCCGGGGAAACTGTTTTAACAAGTCACCAGCCACCCTCGCTTGGTCCCGCGTACACCCCTCTAATTAAGGGCTCAACCATTTGCTACCAGATTAGCTTCTCCACCTCCCCATTCCCCTTCCCCCACGTCCTAAGATCCAAATCTACTCAAAGAGCGGCTCGCCGCATCTGTATTGTCCTTTTAAAGAATTCTTTTTGTTTTCTTGGTAAGAAGTCTTAAGCACTTCATGTAGTGCCTAATATTTGTTTTCCCGTGTCTGCAGGCCACTGTGACGGGAATAGAAAATCCTTTTGCACGTGTTCTCTTGAGTAAGGACACACTGATACCTTTCAGGACAGGAAGACTTGAGAAATTTTTCCTTAGCCCGTGCCCCTACCACTGGTACTAGGGAACTCTGCCCGTCCCTGTCCCGGAGTTGGAAGGCCTGTAGCATTTTCATCTTCTCTCCCACCCTGGCCCAGGTCTGTCAGGTCTGTCTCAGCTGCTCCCATCTGGCCCAGTAGGACCATTCCAAGCTGGGGGATTCCTGGGACAAAACCATAAGCCTAGGGCCTCCTCACTAGCTGGAATTCCATTTGATTCTGCAGGGTTTGTTTTTTTTTAACCACAAAGCTTGGGGAGCGGGAAGATGAAACACAAACCAGTTTGGCCTTTCTTTTTTTTCCCCCTCATTTCCCAGTTGCCAGATGCTGACTGGGTGTTCTGTGTTTTATTTTGTTTTTTGGTATCCTGTGATCGCAGAGACTTACAAGTGAACTGACTTTCTGTTTATGAAAAAGCAACAATGCAACGCAAAGAAAAAATAAAGACCTTCCCCCCAAAAAACGCAGATCTACAAGGGCATGAAGATTACAACCTGCTGGGGAAACAAAATGAGCAGGACAATAAGGGCGCTTGGAATACTAGAATCACACACACTACAGCACCCTGGGTGTCCAGGTGAGAAGCTCTTACAAGGACTTAGCTATGAATATGGAATGTGCTCCGTGCGCTCAGCACCCCCAGCCCTCCAGCAAGTTGTGCAGCAGCGCTCCAGGCCCATCCCACTTCTTGGGGAGCAACCAAGGCTCCCACACAGCCCTGGGAGGGATCAGGAGGAGTCAGAACAGCAGGTGCCTTGGCCAGACTCTCTCCTGCAGCATATCTGCTCTGCACCTCCAGCTTAGAGACTCCCCCACACTCCTCATTTCTGCTGCACCCACTCAGCCCTGTCAGTGTCAGTGTGTGGGCCAAGGAGGCAGAAAATGGACCACCAGACACAGAAAGGCAAACATCCTATCAAGTTCACCTGACAATCTCCTTGTGATTTTGAAGCTGGGATGAGCACTCGCGCCCTGTGGAAACAGAAGGTGGGCTACCTCCAGGAGTGAGCATGGCTCTTCCTGGGCCTCCAGGGGTTATTTACCTCTCGAAATAACCAAGACAACTGTGGGCTTCTGAATGGCTGTGCTGGAGAGCTTTAAAGACAGGCCTTACTGTTGCCCCTCCCCCAGGCTGACTCCTGCTCCGTGAAGAGATGGGCTCCCACCAGCTGACCTCTCCAGTTCCCCCCACAAAGAATTCAACAAAGCTTCTCCATCCAGGAGACCATTATGCTTCTGGAACAAACAATGGGGAGGTCACCAGCATCCCAGCCACTGACTCACACGGTCCCCACGGAGGGAGGTCAGGCTCCTGAAGGGGCCCGTTGGGCGCCTCTGCTTTCCCAGGGGAAGGTTTAGGAGGAAAGCCGGAGCCTGCAAAGCTAGCATGGTGCTGACACATGCCCCGGCGAGGCCTAGACCCAAAAGAAAACAAACCAAACCCTCCTTCCTGCGGTCGCAGGGTGGAATGTTCTAACATCCCTGCCACGCCATCTGCCTTCTTCTGCAGCCCCTGGGCACTGCTGCAAGCACACAGCTGCCCTCATGGGAGGAGGTGCAACCCAGCCCACCCTTGCCAGGGCTCAGGACTCAGCATGTGGACAGCCGGTGGATGCGCCATCTCTACTTAGCCAAGCACCTTCAGCAACATGTTCTGCCTCTGCAGGGTACAGGTTGCAGGGGACACCACCACCCCGACTGAGCTCCCCTGGGGATCGACCATACTCAGGCCCTTCTGGACCAACACTCTTGCTAATACTACAGCTATTGAGGTGGGGGTGGGGAGCAGAAGGAAACGTAACTCCTTCCCACAAAGACTCCATGTCGCACCTAATTGTCCCAGTGTTGATCAATACCCACTAACAGGCACCAACCCTAGGGCTGGGGCTGGGGGAGAGGAAGCCAAGAGGAGGCACAGCCAAACCCCCTCCTCCCCAGCAGATGATTCAGTCCAAACCCATTTCATCCCCCACAAGCCCATGTCCAAAGGTCACCAAAAGGTTAACGATGAGCCCTGGAATGTCAAGACGTAAATAGGGAAGTTGGCTCTGCTTTGACCTGAATGTGGGAGTGTGTGCGAAATTACACCCCACTGCAAAGCAACCAGGCTTGCTTCCGCCCAGCCTGCCAGCTCTGGGCTGCAGGGCAACGGAGGGTGGACACGCTGCCACAAGAGGAGGACCTGTGGAAGGGGGGCCTACTTACCCAGTGGCTTGTATTCGTCGCGAGGAGACAGCCGAGAGTAGGGGGGTGGCGGTGATTCTGGAAGACAGGAGACAACATGTCATGATGGGGAGGTGGGGGTGTTCACACCTGGGCTCCTAATGAACGGTTTCCTCAAATAATAAACAAATAATAAACTCAATCCCCTGCAAACCCTCCCCAGTCCCATCTCTGCCGCCGCCATCCCCCCCTCCTTTCCAGGATTGCATAGCAAAGACCTGGGCTCAAATTCCACCATGCCACCTTTGGTTGTGTGACCTCAGGCAATTTCTGTCACCTTTCTGGGCCTGTTCCCTCAGCTTGGAGATGGAGATAATGATCATCTAGATCTCCAGGCTTGACTGGGGAGAGCCAAAGAAAGATAGCGCTGGGGAAAATGCTTAGAACAGCTCTGGGCGGTGTGGAGATACCTCTACCAGCAGCAGCACCAACTGTGATAACAACTCGAGGCAGAGGGAAGGCAGAGATAAAAATCCAGGCATGCCTGTTTCAACTTGAATTGGGGGCAGACACAGCAGATTCGCAGATTTTTTTTTTTTTTAAATCTCTGGCAACATCTGGGATATACTATACTATGACACGAAATAGAACCGGGCATCCCATGTTTTCTCACCTTGGCCAAACTGGGCCAAGCCTGATTCGGAACTGATTGTATGCACTGCCACGCCGACAAGCTGCCTTGGAGCACTCTTGGGTGCAAGGAGGCTGGAGTAGCAACTGGGGACCCCGGGATGTTCAGCTAGCTGAGCAACCTGGATGGGAGGCCTCATTCACCCCCAGCCCCTGCAGCTCCCAGGATCTGTTTCCACAGTGCTGAAGGGCTGGGGTGGGACACAAGCCCTGCTCCAGCCTTGCAGCTCAGCTTCTGTGATTCCTGCCCATCCATGATGGGTCTTTTTCTTGGGGCTCCCTTTCATCTGCCTAGAATATTCCTGCTTAAAAACAGACATTTTGCCTTCAGAAGAATTCCTTAGCCTCTTGCCTTATGGGAAGTAACAATTTGCTAAACTAAGTAACAATTTGCATGAATGAAACGGCCCTTCATCTTCTCTAAATGAAACTAAACACCACCAAATCGCAAACTAAAACAAACTGGCAGTGGTAATAAAGTGGTAATAACTATTATTAGGCGAGTATCAGTAATGACACAAGGGGTAATAAGTGTTTGTCGTAATTATAATAAGGCACAATTAGGCTTCGCAGCATTTGTTTTGCTCCACGCATCCAATGAGCCTTCACCTTTTCCCCACCCCGACCTCTCCAGCCAGGAGTGACTTCCACCAAGCGGAAGGCTCACAGGTCTACACCCAAGCACTGTGGACAACATCAGGGGGAGGGAAAAGTCGACACCACAGAGGCCCTGGGAGAGAGCTGGAAGCTTGCTCAGCACCTGCTCCGGGGATCCCACTCCAAGCCAGGCCCTTTGCATGAGGCCCCTATTTCATCCTTTCTCAAATGAAAAAAGCAACACAACGGAACTATTAGCCCAATTTCAAAAATGAGAAAAACTAACTTCCCCACATCCCTTAGGGCCATTAGGGTTTAGCTGGCATTTGTACCTAGGCCTGACAGGGAATCCAGACATGCCCCCTTTTACGCACCCTGCTGGGTTCTGGCCCCGTTGTGAATTCAACACAGACAGGACTAGAACTCTTACATGGACCAAAGCCATCACAAACATAATGGCAAAGTTGGCTACATCTATGGGAAAGGGCATGGGGGACCCAGGGACACCCACAGAAGACCTTCAACAAGACTCAGGAGGTGGGTCATCTGTATAGGTTTGAGCCTACGAGGGACCAGAGGCCAGGCTGGATTGTGGCCCCATGTCTTGGGACAAGAGGCATGGGTCATGGAGAAGCTAGCCTTCCAGGGGATGGGGGACTGAGACCGGCTCCCCCATGTCCAGAGACGGGGGCCCAGCCAGTGGAAGTGATTCCCTTTTGAGCTGACCATGGGCCAAGAGAAACATTGGCCTCTCCACAAACACTGGAGGAAGAGGGGGAGCTCCTGACACTCCTGGATGAGGGCTGCTTCTACAATATGACTACCACAGGCCCATGATACCCACGGCAGGAAGCTCTGGGCATCTGCCCCCTATCGGTGGCACTGAAGGAAGACAGCTCACATTAAGCCACTGTCACCAGTCCCAGCATCTCTTTTAGAGAGGCCAACTCCCCAAGGCGCCAAAGATTAAGGACCAGAATGGTTCACCATGTCTCCGCTTCAGAAGCCTTGAGCTGTCAAACCCACCACACAGGACCACAGCTGAGCCGGGCGATTCTGGAGGCCAGAAGTGTTGATCACAGAAGCTGAGGCTGGCAGCCAATCCCTAAATATCATACTAGGTGGTCCTAAGAGTGGGAAGGCTCACTCACTAACGCCACTCCCCCACCCCTCCACCCTGCCACAAGAAAGACTTGGAATGGCAGAGACAGACAGGGACTTGGGGACCCAACTCCTTTTAACAAACATCCTGATAGTCCAGTGAAGGCCTTGCCCAAGGCAAGATTTTACTCTACCTCTCAACTTGACCCTGAAGTGCACCAGTAGGTGCATCTTTTAAACACTGAGATACAATCGGCCGACCATAAGACTCGCCCTTTTAAGAGTACACAATTCAGTGGTTTTGAGTTTATTCATAAAGCTATGCAACTGACCACGATCTAATTACAGGTCATTTTCATCACCGCAAAAAGAATCCTGATCCCCATTAGCAGTCACTTCCTAAACCTCCATCCCCTAAATCTTAGGCCACCACTGAGCCAGTCTATGGATTTGTCTGTTCTGGACTTTTTGTTTTGTTTTGTTTTTGTTTCGAGATTTATGCATTTACTTGAAAGACAGAGCTAGAGAAACAAAGAGATGGAAGTGGAGGATAGAGAGAAATAAATCATCCACTGGTTCACTCTCTAAACTACTGCAATGGCTGGAGGTGGGCCAGTTATAAGTCAGGAGCCTGAAACTCCATCTGAGTTTCCCATATGGGTGGCAGTGGGGTGAGGAATTGACACCCAAGCACTTGGGCCAACTTCTGCTGCTGTCCCAGGTGCATCAGAAGGAAGCTGGAGGAGAAGCGGAGCAGCCAACCACTTGAACCGGAGCTCATATAGGGTATTGGTGTTGCAGGCGGTAGCTGAGCCTGCAGCAGCACCGCCCACCCCCCCCGCCCCCCCCCGTCCCAACCACATGGACATTTGTTATAAACGCAATCATAGTACAAGGGCTCCGTCACAGGGTCCATCCCCGATCCCTTTGGGTAATTCCTCACTGCCACTCTCATGCGGCCAGGCCTCATGGTCACAGGTGCCTCCACTGAGAGTGGACAAAAGCTCCAGAGAGAAACCCAGCTGCCTCTTGCCCACTTCCCTCCCTCAGTTATGGCAGCCCCTCAGGCACTGGGAATCTTTTCCAACTTCCCCCAGAAACTAGAGTGCTCAGCCGGCACCAGCCCAGGTGAGCCTCTGGTTAGCCACTGGGGAGTCCTTAGACTTTGGGGTTCTAGACCTCAAGGGTAAAGCCAGAGGAGGTCGTGGACTCTCCCCACCTCTCCCAGAGCCTGGCAAAGCTTCAGAATGGGATCATTACCTTGCCTCCCAGACCTCTGCAGCCCAGCAGTCTTAAGAGAAAGATCCACCAGCCCCTAGAGGCCTCCAAGTTCCTCCCCCCAGCGGCATGTGCGTAGGCATGGGGTCTCCCCCCCCCCACCCTCACCACAGCACCCATCCCCTCAACTCTCCAGAAACTGAAAGCTCAGGCCCCAAGCCCCAGGATGGGAGAGACAGAAATGGAGCTCCTGGCACTTTAAGGCCGCCTGAGCCTAATTGCCCAGATTCCCCCGGCAGCCAGATAAACAGCGCAGCCGGCTGGCGCCAGCAAGAGGCAAACTGCACATTATCACCCCTTCCTCACCTCCAGGAGGGGCAGACAGGCAGGCCTAGGGGCGGGGGCTTGGAAGCCCAACTTGAAATTGATCTCATTTCAAAGGGATAATGCCAGGCCAAAGAAAAGGAAAACTTTCTAGCCCGTTCTAATTCCTATAGTCCCGGCCTGGGAACCCTGTGTTTTCCAAGGCGGCCTCCTCCAGTCGTTTAGAACTTCTCTGTCTCACTCTGTCTCTTTCCCGGGCACAATTTGGATAATAGTAATTTACTGAATATAATTACAGAAAAAAAAAGTGGTGAGGCAAAGAGCAGGAGATTTATTCCAAAGTTAATGGATACTTTCAGGAGAAAGGAGCTCTCTATAAACACAGGTTAGAGCTGTGATTAAAGCATTTCTCCACATTTCCGTCCACACAGGCACCCAACCGAGCCTGGTGTGCTGGCTTCTCCCGGGACAGAAGGACGCACCCGAGGGATGCAGAGTGACAGCCTGACTCCCAAGGCCGGGAGCCCACAGGCCAGGAGGCCCCCAGCGGCTGAGATCAGCCCTCTCACTTCACAGAAGGGCCTGGCTCCAGCCAAGTGCATGATCGTGCCTGGCCGGCAACAACCGCGTGGGCGTGTGGGTGCGGGGGTGGGGTCCACACTCCTGGCCCTGCAAGCCTGGCTGCCCCAGTGTGCCACAGTGCTTTCCTCTCTCTTAGCGGGGTGCCCAGCTCAGGGTGTCTGTCTGTCTGCCCCATGCCCAGCCCTCTCACCCAGGAGTCCTGAAGGAGCAGTATCCTTATCAGGACGCGCCCCGCTGAGCCCCAGCTATGCACCCGCCCAGCCACAGGGAGCCAGGCTGGCAGCCAGGCGGCCGGGGGTGGGAGGTAGGGTGGGCAGCCAAGGGCTTCCCCAGAGCTTGGCCCCAGCGGCCAGAGGGTCAAGCGGACGCAGATGAGCAGTTCTCCCAGATGCCCCTAACAGGGCCTGCCTGGGTAAAGCACTGGAAGGAGGAGGTTCCAGAGCCCGGTAGCTTGCAAAGAGGCAGGGCACTAGGCCTGCACTAGCCCCAAGTCAGCCGGTGAGCTGTAGGTTACTGGCTGGCCAGAGCCTAGGACGGGGCCTCGGCGAAGGAGCACCAGGCTGTAGCTTGCCAGGTCGCCCTCACCTGTACTGTCAAGTCTACCTAAGTCAAACCCAGGGCAACTCCCAGTCCAGAAAGCAGAAGTGGGGTGGGTCCTGCTCTCTGTCCTCCCTTGCCCACCCACTTGGGCTTGCCTGGCACCCCTAACTCTTCTCTGATCCATCTTCCAAGGCCAGGCTGCAGGTGAGAGCTGTGGAACTCCCACAGGTGAGCCTGTTACATGCACACGTGTACACACACACACACACACATGCACCCAGCACTACCAGTCAGCCAGAGGCACAGACCTGACTCTACCCACGTCCCTTCTACCTGGGTGCTACCTCTCTCTCCAGCACACAGCCCAGGGCCTGGCACAGCGCAAGCACTCCACAAACACCTGGTGCCACACAGAGAGAGGAAACACCTGCAGGGCTTCTACAAGAGGGAACTGGGCCCCACCATGCATCTCCCAGGGACAGGAGCACCACAGATAGGGTCCCCAGGTTCCCAAGACAGGGAAGGCAGGCGTTGCAGAGAGGAGAAATGCACTTCTAAGAGAAGCTGTCAGGGGAGGCAGCAGGAGCAACAGGTTAGAGAGCTGCTCCTCCCCAGCGCCCCATCAGTGGCCCCTCTTCAGGAACTCCAGCCCCATTTCCCTCCCACTGCCACCACCCCCACACACACACCCTCCCTTCCACCAGGTCAGGAACCTGTGGTGAGTGATGGAAATGACCTTCTAGGTGTCCCTAGGCCTCCCCTTGTCCTCACCTCTGCTCTAGCACCCAGGAGCTGGCCAGGACAGTGAGGCTAGGGGTGGGTGGCATGTATCCAGGAACAAAGAAGGAAAGGGGGAGCCGTTCGAAGAGGTCATAAAGTACCCAGCTTCTTCTCCTACTCATGCAAGACCCTCCACTCTCCAGAGCTCAATAAAGTGGAAGATGATGGAGTGATGCTAGCATGACAGCCACCTCATGTTGAGAATGCCAGCGGGCTTATCCTGCAACCGCTTTGCACCACAGTGTACAAAGGCCCAAGCGGGACATTTCAGGAATACCTTTGACTCCTAAGCGATGTGATCTGTCTACACCCCATTTCACAACTTGCAGCTTCGGGGAGACAAAAGCACTGTGTGAGGCTCAAGGCATAGGTACCAAATGCTAAAGGCAGAGAGCAACAGGACCTCCCAGTTCTTAGGCCTCTCCTCAGCCTGTCCTCCGCTTTCACCGTCTGTGCAGTTGCAGCCTACTGTCAGGTACCCCAAAGCCTGCATGGAGAAGCCTCCCATTCCCAGACGAACTGCCTTTTAAGTTTGCATGCAAAGTTGCCGATGCAACTCTCATACCCTCTGCCCGGCTCTCCTTCCAGGGCAGGAGAGAGGCGCACCAGGGATACCTCCTTCCCCACCAGCGCGCGCGCGCACACACACACACACACACACACACACACACACACACACAGGCCGTTGAACCCGCCCGCGCCCACGCCACGCAAGGCTCGTGCAAAAGGGGGCAGCGCGGGCCCCGCGGCGCGCTCACCTGGCCCGCAGAGCCGGCTGAAGTGGTACGGGTTGCAGCACACAGTGGGGCCGTCGGCGGCAGCAGCGAAGCTGTGACAACCGCACAGGGGCTTCAGCTCCACGGCGTGCTGCAGGTCGGGCCAGCGGAAGAGGCGCCCGAGCAGCAGCTGCGGCGGCGCGGGCTGGCCACCCAGGCGGAGGTCGGCGCGCGGCACCAGCACGCAGCCGCCCGGCACGCCGCCGCGGGACTCCACCGCCTCCAGCAGCGTGTCCAGCGAGCGCTCCTTGAGCCGCTTCAGCAGCGAGTACGTGACCGTCTTCAGTTCCTGCTCCAGCAACAGCAGCCGCGAGCGCGCTTCACGGCTCCGCCCGCCGCCCGCGGGTTCCAGCGCCGGGCCGGCCAGGGGGTCGCCGGCGGCGTCCCGTGGTGCGCCGGCGGCGTCCCGCTCCGAGAAGAGACAGCAGGTCACCGTCTCGCAGTCACTCTCGGGCAGCCAGCCCGGGCCGCCCGGCTCCGCCACGTCCAGCAGGGAGCCCCCGGCGCCGGCCCCCGGCTCCGACACGGGCCTCGTGGGGCCCCCTGCGCGCCGGCGCCTGCCCACGCTCTGGGCGCCTCGCTGTCCCACCGCGTCCCGGGGCCGCCGCGGGGTTACCGTGAGGACTTCGGAGCGGCCGCAGCCTGCGCCCTCTCGTGCCCACGGGGCTGCCTCAGCTCGGCTGCCCAAGCCCCCATCCTCGTCGCCGTCGCCGCCGCCGACGTCGCCGCCTTCCTCCCGGTCGGGGACCACACGACTTCGCCAAAGTCGCCGCACCAGCCCCGAGCGTTTGGACCTGAACATACGATATCCTTTGGCGCCGGGGGGTGGAGGGGAGGCGGTCTCCAGTTACCAGGGGTCCGTTCCCTCAGCGAGGCGCGGGCCGCAGCCCCATAGGAAGCTCGGCCGCCGAGCGCAGTGCAGACCGCGCACAGCCCGTCGTCGAAGGGGCGCCGCAGGGCTGCCACATGAGGGAGCTTGACCCGGGAACACGCGCGCGTCCGGGCGCAGCCCGCGCCGCTCGGCCACTCCAGCGCCCGCGCTCCGGAGGGCTGCGGGCGGCGCGCGGCGGCCACGACCCCGCAGGGGCCGGCGAGCCTTCAGGAGCCGCGCGGCTGGTCCATGGGCACAAAGCGCTCGCGCCGAAACCCGAGGCTGCTTTGCGAAACCCTCGCTGCTGAGACTCAAGCGCCCCACTACTACATGGGCTTCTCCTGCCCGACCCGAAAAAAAGCAGGCGTGTTAAGACCCTGAGCTCCCTTCTTAAACTGCCTGCAAAAGAAAAAAAAAAGTTGGGGGAGGAGAGGGGCGAGGCAGGCGGGAGTGGGGGGAGGAAGGGGGGGAAGGAAAAGAACAAATCCGCCCCCAAAACAACCCCCCCTTCAATGCCCAGGTCTGCAAGCACGGCAGGCCAACTCCGTCTCAGGTCCCAGGCGCGCTAGATGCACTTGGAGTGAGTTCTCCCGAAGGCGAGTGTCAACACGGGAGCAGAGGCTGTGAAAAAAAAAATCCCACGGAGCTGCTGGGGATCCTGTGTGGGAAGCGCGCTCCGCCGAGGCCGAGGTAGCAGCCCCGCGGTGCGCTCGGACGCTCCGGGCGCCCGGCGGCCGAGTGGCCCCCCTCCCCCTCTAAGTGCCTCCCGGTGGCCCCGCGGTCCCGGCGAGGTCTGGCGAGGCAGCGCCCGGCGGCTCTTTCTCTCGGCTCGGCTCTCCTCGCTCGCTCCCCCGCTCGGCTCGCTCTCTTTTTTTGTTCTCCTCAAACGCACACGGAGGGCCCCCGGAGGAGCGCCGCGGAGTCATTGGCTGCCTCCCATCATATGCCAGTCTAGACACTTTGGCGGCTCCGCGGCGCTGATTGTTGCGCAAACAAGGTTTCAAGTTTCTTAACTCTTAAAGGAGAACACGTCCCCATTGCTGGGGCCCGAGGCTCGCCAGGGCCGGCTTCCCGGGGCGGGCCGACGAGTCCCGGGCCCACGCCCCACGCCCGCCCCTCCGCCTCGGGCTTGACAAGCGCCCACGACTCGCCCTCTCTGCGGTGGCTCGCGTCGCGCCCCCCCGGGCACGGAAGCGAGTGAGCACACGTACCTTTTTTTCTTTTTTGCGCACACGCGGTTAAAGTCGGAACCGCGGGGCAGGGTGGCGAACCCATCGCCACGCGGGCGCACACGCCACGCTCCCCGGCACGTTGGCTTGGACACCCACTCAAAAACACGCGTAGCACCCGCAAAATCGGTTTAAGCCCCACCCCCAGGCAGGGCCGGGGGCTCGTGAAAATGGGTATCTGCGAGTGCCTGCCTGATTTGTGTCTCCGGGGGCGGAGAGCGGCTAAGTTGGGGAGTGGGATCTTCCAGGAAGAGTGCAGGGCTCCTCAGCCACTGCGCAGAGTTGGGGTCCTCGGCTGGACCAGTGCTTTTGGCGGGAGTGGGAGGCAATGTGGGGCGGTAGTTTCCAGGACAGCCAGAGGTGGGGAGCTGAAGGAGGGATCGAGGCGAGCTGTGTCTCCTCGCCGGCTCCGTTCGGTCGCCAGGGCTCTTCCCTCGGGGATAGGGGAGCCGCCGGCAGCCCCGGGGCCCCCCTCGAGGCCGGGCGCTACCGGCTCCTGGCCAACTTGCTTAGTGTGTTGCTGGAGGAGTGGGGGGTGGGGAGGGTTGGTGGTCGCTTTTCCCCGGGGACGGTGCACTACGAGGGGCCGGGGAAGTTGCGGCAGGGTGATGGTGGGGGGGTGCGGCGCCCGCCCCGGCGCGGGAAGGGTTAAAGGCCGCTCCGGCCCCTGGAGCCGGCGCGGCGGGGTACCTCCTCGGGCGCGCTCGCTCGGCCGAGGGTGGCAAAAGTTCAAGCTAGTAAAGTCGGGATTGGTCCCGCGCGCAGGGGGAAAAAAGGCCGGGGGCCCCCCTCCCCCTCCCGGGCGCGGCGCCGATTGGCCGGGCCGCGGGGCGACCCCGCCCTCTCCCCTGCGCTCCGCGGCCCCACCTCCCCCCCGTGCGGCGACCCGCCCCTTTCCGGGCAGGAGCCGGGCCCCCGCGCGCTGAATGAAAGAAATTCCGCTACTCTCATTGGCCCGGGGGCTGGGCGCCATCTCTTCCCGCGACCAGCACCACTGCCACCCAGCCCGGGCGGGCGCGCGCGCGCGGGGGCTTCGGGGCGCGGGGGTCTCCCCAGACGCTGCACGCTTGGCCGCGGGGTGCGCTGGCCCCTTCGGTCCCGAGTCTAGCTGTGCGCTGAGAGAAGGGCGAGCTTTGCAAGGAAGGACCCAAGACCATTAACTAGGATTTACCTGCGGTCAGGTTCTTTTGGAGCCCGGCACGTGCGCGCCCGCTCGGGGAGAGCCCTCGGCTCGCCCCACTGCTGGACTGGCCTGAGAAACGTCCCCGCCAGCCAAAGAGAAATAGCGTGTCTTCAGTTTATTTTCTTGGAGGACGTGTAGATGGTAAGGTCTGTTCACAGCCTGCCGCAAAGATCCTCGGAGAAGGCATGGCCCATGTGCACACATCGCGGTGGGCGACACCCATGTGGCCAGCACCTCATAAACCTAACCCCTAGAAGCCAGTCCTAGGATCTCTTTCAGGCAATTCTTATCCCTGGGGAAATGTATGTCTCATCATGTGAAAACATCAGGAGGTATTTTCCGTCTTAAGATTTAATTGGGGGGGGCAGATTTACAGAGAGAGAAAAATTATCTATCTTCCATCTGCAGGTTCACTCCCCAAGTGGCCACGAAGGCTGGAGCTGAAGCCAGGAGTCTGTTCCGTGTCTGCTACATGGGGGTGGGGTCCCAAGGCCTTGGGCTGTCTTCAGCTGCTTTGGCAGGTCACAAGGAGGGAGCTGGATGGGAAGTGGAGCAGCGGGACGCCCCCGGACACCCTTATGGGGTGCCAGTACTTGCAGGCTGAAGATCAGCCACCATGCCAACCCTCTGTAGGATAGTCATTGGTTTTTGCTGTGGATTCTGATGGGAGTAACTGTTGCTTCCTGCAGTGTTCATGGAAATTAATCCTTGGTACTTGCCACAACCTTGATGCGTGGCGATTATCCCCGTTTGTACTGGGGAAACTGAGGCACAGGATCCGTGGACAGTGCTAACACATTAAAACCTGGAGCCACCACCTGGTTGATGTATCCCTAGATTCTCGAGGGCTGTGTATATGTGTGTGGTGCTGAGTCAGGGTGTTGGGGGGGTGAGGCCCCCAGACTCCCCATTACAGCTGGGGGTCAGCAGGGTGTGGTTGTTGGCACTGTTTTATAGATAAGGACACTGAGCTACAAGGCTTGCACAGCTTGTAATTAGTTGCCAAGGCAGGATTGAAAGCAGCAGGTTTGGCTGGGAAAGGGATGAGTAGGTGTGTGCGTACACTGGAAAGTGGAGGAAAGAGAGGTTGCCTGCAGATCCCCTGGGGGCACATCTGTGAGCTGCCTGCAGGTGGCCCCTTTCCCCCATTTCTAGCCCTGGCCTGAGAAATATTTGACCAGTGCTCCCAAAGCCTCGGGCCAAGGCCACCCTGCAGAGGGGACCTTCCTGTGGTTAGAGGCTGCCTCCCTTCCCAGGGTGTGAATCTGGCCCCAAGCATTTCCCTGCAGAGCACTAAAACCCAGCCTCAGGCATCCCATCTGTAAAATGGGAGTGATTGTCCCAAGGAAATGGCCCCATCACTGCAGGGCAACTTATGGGAGAAAGGCACAGAAAAAGCGGGGCAGTGCTGTTGGGAGTCCTAGGGCCAAGCCAACCCCTGGAGACCCTGTGCCTGGCAGAGGTGCAACCACTAGAGGGTGTCAGGGCCCAGAGTGCAGAAGGGCACGGCTGCCAGGAGTCCCAGGCCCAGGACCCCTCCTGGGGTTCCCTGGAGAGAAAGGAGAAAGGTCACTCCTTCTCAGGTATCTGCAGCCAGGTGTGGGCCTGGGGCCCCTCCTCTGAACCCTGTCCCCCAGTGCTCAGGAGATGGAGTTGTGGGGTGGTTGAGTGCTCATCCCTGGTGAGTGAGGACGCCAGTACACACTACCAGCACAGTAGCAGGTAGGTGGCGGAGCCAAGACTCCAACCCCCAGGTGGTGTGAGAGCACCTGTAGCCCCTTTTGCTATGGAGTGAAGGCTCCTTTGCGTACAGGGAGGTTTCCCTGCTGGCTGAGGTAGCAGAGACCCTGCAAGGCACAGCCTGCTGCTGGGCGCTGGGAAGGAAAGGGGAGCACCTAGGGGCTACTGCCTGTGAAGAGCCTTGGAGGAAGTTGGGCCCCCTCCAGCTTAATGGGCAAATGAACCAGCAGGGCGACAGGCTTATCGCATCCCACTTCACAGGAGGGTGATGGATAAGCCAGGGTCCCCACTGATAAACTCTTAAGAACAACTCAAAGCTCCAGGATTTTTTTTTTTTATCTTTTTAAACTATATATTTATTTGAAAAGTAGAATTAGAGACAGAAGCCAGGTTTGGGCCATGCTAAAGAGAAAGCTAGGAGCTTCATGTGGCTTTCCAACATGGCAGGAACCCAAGCACTTGAGTTATCTTCCACTGCTTTTCCAGATGCATTCAGCAGGGAGCTGGATAGGAAGTGGAGCAGCTGGCGCTCAAACCGGTGCTCCTACGGGATGCCAGCGCTGCAGGTGGTGACTTAATCCACTGTGCTACAACATAAGTCTCTAGGCCGCAGTTTGTTAAAACATCAGTAGGCAGCCAAATGATATTGTCTACCCCTCTGGCAGGCAAATGTGCTTGGTGAACGTGGCCGTATGTGTGGGTCACCCAGGTCCCCCACCCCTTGGGTAGCTCTAATGAATGTGACAGAGGTTTCTCACTTGAGTGCACATATGAAGGATAGATGCTTGGCATCCGTTCGTTGCACGCAAAGACCAGTGAGCTTCTGCCATGTACCAGGCCCTTTTCCAGGGGCCAGGGACCCCGTGGTAAGCAAAGTACACTGCTGAGCTCAGGTGGAAGAGACCACGCAGTGTTTGGAGAAAGCGCAAATGCAAAGACTGCGTAAAATGCAGAGAAGAGGAGAGAGGGACGCTGGGAGAAGGTAGACTCTGGCTTAGACAGTGTTTAGAGGAATGCTCCCCTGAGGAGGCTG